GGGGATGTGAGCTGGGGGGTGCCCGGCCCTGCCCAGCCCTTGTCGGGGGCCGAGAGCTGTGTCCTGGGCTTGAGTGTGTGGGAGCACTCCTGCGGGGTCCCTGAGGGGCTGGAGGGAAGGTGGCTGCTCTTGATGTGGGGCGGGAAGGAAGTATATTTGGCTTGCTTGAGAGTTGGAATCCTTGCCAGGGATGTGGGGCGGGGAGAGATTACTCTTGGGGTGCTGGAGAGCCCAAGCAGCGTTAAGGGAAGGGAGAGGGCTTGTCTTGGGTGCCTGCTGGCTTTCCCGAACCACACCACCAGCCCCAGGCTGCATCTGGAGGTGAGGTGGATGCTGCGACCTTGGGATGGGGTGTGTGCCGTGGTCAAGTGTTAGTTAGGTTCCTGAGCAAGGAGTGTGCTGAGAGAACTAGCTGTCTTAATGCACCGCTTGACTGGTGGGTGATGCTGCTGCTTCCCGGCTCCCGAGCTCTGGGAAAGGGGCTGGACTGCTGCTGGGCTTGCTCAGCCCCTGCGCTGCGGAGGAGTTACGTTAGTGTTTCACTACCTCAGACAGAAGGGGAGCTGGACACACCTGGAAAGGCAAGTAATTCCAGACAGGTCAGCCAGTAAGTCCAGCGAAAAGGAGATTTCTGTTACTGAATGACTGAGTATTTTTGTAAAACATGGAGAGATTTCACCTCTGGAAATGCTGCATGTAGGATCTTCGAGGATTCCAAAAACATCATCAAGCTTCAAGGCACTGTTATTTTGTAGGCAGTTAGGACTAGTGCGAAGATTTTATGCAGCACTGTACACAGTTTTATCTAAAAAGAATAAAAAAGGTAACGGTGTCAAACAAACTCAATTTTAAAACTTGAGTGATGTTTAGATATAGATACTTTAAAACATCGGTGGTTCTAAGTAATAACTTAGATTGTGAACCTTAAGCGTGTAAGTAGTCCTGTTGATTTCAGTTCATCCGTAGGGTTATGCTTGTGGTTGATCTTTGCAGAACGGAAGCATCTGTCTGTGTAAAATTTAGATTTAAAAGACCAGAGGCATCCATGAAGTACTCCTGAACTAAATCGACTTCACTGTTCCTCTCGCTGCTTGGTGAAGTAATTGATTTCCTCTAGGGCCTTTTCACATAGAGAGAGGATAAAATTTAAAATGAAGAGGAAGAAATGTATCAGAAATTACAAGGAAATGTGTATGTGAAGATACTTGTATGTATATGTGAAGTAATTTCTTGTTTGGCTAAACTTCAAGTTGGCTAAGACATTAAGCAAAAAGTGATACTAGAGCCAGAACAATGGAAAAAAGGTGAAAATACTTTTTATTAGTCTGACAAATGAAACTATTAATCTGTTTGCTGGTAAACATTCTAATAAAGCTAGACAGTTTGTTTGCTTGTTACCGTCATGATCCTTAATGTAAATGAGGGGACAGTTATCAGTTCTTTGGGAACACAGAACAAATAGCCTTGTGATATCTACTGTGTCTTCTAGGTTTGTAGTTCAGCAGCATCACATCCTTACGAGTAGACAGAGAAACAGAGGCTGGGAGCTTCAGAATGATTCAAGCAATTGTCTGCTTCCCTGGAAGTCAGGGAACAGGGCTCAGTTCTCTCATTCATCCCAAGTTTGATTTTATGGTATGAGTGGTGACAACTTACTTTGGAAAGCAAGTGTTTCCCAGCCCTGCTGAAAGGATTACCTAGGTCTTGAGAGCAATTTGAGTAGCCCTTGCAGGAGAGTGAGAGGTTCTGAGAAGGTGAGGTGAGTACCAGGAGTGAAAGCTTATACAACTGTACCAATAGAAGTCTTTTCCTTGCTCACAGGTCAGAGACTTTAGGGCGTATCTCTGACTTCAGGCATACCCTTCTCAGACGGATGGAGTCCAGACAGACATGAACTACCATTCCTGCCCGCTGGCTGCCTGCTTCCTTCCTGCCTGGAAGTAATACAGAGATATTAGTGCCCTCTTGTACTGTGCCTGTGATCCCTGCCGAGAGGCT